CGTAAAGAAACTTGTGTGGGATTTGAATTTCTACCTGTGAATAACGGCATTTGAAAGGTAATTTTCTGACATTGGGCAGAATGTAAAATGTAGTAAGGAGGCTGCTTGTTTGTCCTGGTTGCTTAGCCCCGAAATAATCACACAAAAACTGTATTAATTAAATCACTGCTTGGCCCATTAGCTCAAGTTTCTTATTGGCTAACTCTTACATATTAATCTAACCCATTTTCTATTAATCTGTGTATTGCCATGTGGCTGTGGCTTACTGGCTAAAGTTCCGTCTGACTCCGGTGGAGCTACATTGCTTCTTTCTGACTCTGCCTTTTTTCTCCCAGCATTCAGTTTAGTTTTCCCCACCTAGTTCTCTTCCCCTATATCTCTGCTATAAGCCCAAAGCAGTTCCTTTATTAACCAATGCTATTCACAGCATACAGAGGGGAATCCCTCATCAGTAAGAGCCTGAGTAAGATTGTAAAAGGAGCAAAAGGCTGTACCTAGAGAAGCAGGATATTGAGCTGTATTAGGGGATGCCTGAGCTGGGGGACAGCTTTCAGGTTGGGAGAGGCCCTACCTCTGAGGACCTGGGACTGATTTGGATGAAAACACATGCAGGAGAAGCCACACACAGAATCCTAGGGAAAGCAGATGTCCCCCAAATGCAAGCTTTGGTGTCAGATTTTCTTGGCTCAAATCTTAATTTCAAGGGTGATCTTGAGCAAATCCCTCAACTTCCAGGCATCATTTTCATCATTTTGAAAACAGGGTCAAAAGAATCCGTGCTATAAGTTACAGATGAAGCTCCCAGTTCCTAAGTGCTTATCCAATGTACACTTTCCTGTCGTTTCCTGAGAGTGCAACCCTCAACTGTGTGTGCATGAAGGATTACAACCCTGCTACTCTTTGCCACTTGGCTCCCTGAAAAACACCCTGCTTCTGCCCTGCAACTTCCCAAACGACTCCTTGTTTCACTGCCCCAGTTAGATGAGACAGCAATTGTCTGGAACTGAAGCAGGACCTGCTTTCTGCCCTTCTCTCCCCTTTTGTGACTGGATCGTGCTCAGGGACAAGTGGCTGGGAGGCAGGGAAAGAAAAGAACACTCTAGAGGTGACCTGTTGCTCTCATCTTCCTGCTCCGGTTATAGCGGAGAGGAGCCTTTGCCTTTGGCTACAGGCTGCTTCCCACTGAGTCTTGTCTCTTCCTGTCTCTCATCCCTCCCCACCCCTACCTCTCCTCATAATGGCAGAATGACTTCTCCAGCCGTGCAGCCAAGCTGCGTAACATAACGCGTCCAAGTGCAGGCAGATAGGTGTCCTTGTCCCATTTCGGGGTAATTGTGGAAGTGATGGCCTCTGATTTCTCTGAGTGCTCTGTGGTATCCGTTCTCTGTCACAGACACCATGGCTGGGGTCAACAGCGGAGCAGGGCAAGGTGAAAGCGGCACAAGCGGTCACAGCTAAGCTTCCGTTTTCATCCTCAGCGTTGCTCGCCGCATGGTCTTTGGGGGACATGGTTCCTGCAGAGCCCCTCGGCTCCCTCCCAGGCCCATTTGTATTCAATAAGACAAAAGCAATTCTTCTTTGTGGAGAAAAAGAAGTCTCTTTTGTGGACTGAACTCTCCCCACTCCTATTCAGTTTCCACTGAGCCACGCTTAGGAATGAGAAGCAGAGGTCTCCAAAGCCGAGCTGGGACGGGTTAAGGTCAGCGCCATTGCAGCCGCCTGTCTTTGTGTCTCTAACCTGATTTTCTTCTTGGTCTGTGTGTGTGCCCCATGCAGTATTCGGGGCTCTTCCTGGGATCCCTTCTGCAGTGTTCAATATCCCCTTTAGACTACCCATTCATACTGGAGTTTAAAATATAAGGCCGCAATCAATTGATATGTGACTCCACTCAAGGCCATTTTCCACTTAAAAAGCATCAGAGTTAAGATCCCTGTGGTAGCATTTCAGATGTTACCCAGAGAAAGGCTAGAGGGTACAAAATGACTTAAAACTATGTCGAGGGGAGCCGTCTTTGGCTCATTTTGCTACTTAGAAGTGAAGAGAGAAGACACTGGGTGAATCAAGCCCAAATTATTCTTAGTCTTTAAGTCTGTAGCCTGGGTTTCTAATGCGCTGACATCCTTTGCCTCCTCCTCGCTCTGTTTTTCAGAGGAGATGTCCTATATCGCGATGCGTTGCACCAGCTGCCGTAAGTTCTCCTTGCGGCTTTATCTAGTCTTCTCCTGCCTGTGACCCTCCAGAAACGGCTGGAAGCTCTTGTTAGCTTACACTGTGCAGTGCTAGCTAACGTTGCAACCACAGAAATGGAGCCATTTGCATGGTCTCTTCACTGCCGTTTAATTTGTCCTCGAACTCAAATGACACAATGCATAGGCCCTGTTTTCTAACAGGCAAACTTTTACAGAAATCATGTTTTACTTGACTTTAGCTGGGAGATGGAGTAGCAAAGGAATTCCCATTCTCAAAGGCCCATAAGCACATCTGCAATCAAGTTCCCAAGTTCTAGAGATCCCTGTTCCTGAAGGTTCGAAAATAGGTAACAAGCAAAACAATGAAGAATAAGGCAGGCCCAGCTTGAGTCAGAATGTCATGTGTTTGAACATTTGGTTTTCTGTGGATAGAGCTGTAGGAAATTATAGACCTTTAGGGGGTGGAGCCTGACTGGCTGGCTAGAAGTAGGGCCTAGGGGTACTGGTCGAGAGATTCTAGCTGAGCCTCCGGCCTGCTTCCTAACTGCAAATAGGGCCTGGTACCTCATACTCCTCTTCACTGTGCGGCCTTTCTCACTATGACCAAGTGTTTCCCTTCCTAAAGCACAAGTCAAGATAATCCCTTCATGAAGTTGTATTGGCCAGGGGTTTTTGTCACACCAGTGAGTGGAGTAACCAGCACGACTGGTGCTGCCCCAAAGGAGGGACTGCAGCTCACATGGTTTATATAAGGCTTAGTTTTCCCTTAGTGGTTTATGAGCACTAAAAGCCAAGTAGGAAACTTTTACCAAAATCGGTCTGCTTCACACTTCTTTCGTAATGATTCTTACTCTGGATTCTTCAAGCACCCTAGATTCTCCTTAGGTATTTATCTGCCTAGTTATTCATCCAGAAAACATTGCCTGAATGCATTTGGTGCTGCTACAATCCCAGGATCCCAACAGAGTGAAGAAGAGATTGAAGCAGAGGGTGAGGACAGCTGGCAGGCTCTGGTGGACATCTGGGCTGATGGTGGCGATGGCAATGGGGATGGGTGGTTCTCAATCAGCTTCCATTGCCGTGGCAAACAGCTGGGATAATTTTGAGATGGGGAGGGCTATTTGGGGTTCATATTTTCTTTGAGATGTTTCAGTTGCTTGGCCCTGTTGCCTTTGGGCTGTACTGAAGGATAACACTTATGGTAGAGAGTAACCTGATCACTTCTTGGCAACCAGGAAGCAATAAGGAAAGGACAGGAAGTGTCTCAGACCCCAATAGCCTCTTCCATGCCGCACTTCCAAAGACATGACTTGTTTTGTCTAGATCCAGACACCTAAAGGTTCTACCAGCTCAAAAATAGCACCACAGGCAGGTGGCCAAGCCTTCTGGACACAAGCCTTTTGAGAACCATTTAAAATGCACTGATAAAGCGTTGATACTATTGTTTGAATTAATCTGAATTCATTAAAATATATGATAACATGTTAATTCAAGGAATAGAATAATAGTATTAGAGGTCATAAAAATCTAGAAATTTCAGTCATAAAGAGCCAAAGTTACAAAAGGACTCCTATAATCAGTGGGAGAGAGAAAAGCATACCCATGGACTTATATTTAGTATCCCAACTGAATAATTGACAAAAGCTATATTACTTTCTTCTTCTTCTTCTTCTTCTTATTATTATTATTATTATTATTATTATTATTCATGTTTCTGGACTAAATTGCTAGATTTGTAAGAAGAGACAGACCCAAATCTTGCTGTTTTAGAAAACAGTGGGATTTGGAACTCCACATTTGATTAAAAAGACCATTTAATTCAATATTTTTATTACAGATGAGAAGTTTAAGACACAGAAGCTAAACCATTTGCAGGAGGTGAACCAAAGGAGTCATGGTGGTGCTGAGGGTGGAACCAATATGTCTGAGTTCTAGGGCAGGGGTCTTTTCCTACAGGCAGCAACTTCCTAAGAAAGACTTGGAAATAAGTTTGTGGGATTTCGATGACTATTAAAAAGACGGTTTTTAAAAGTTCTTTCAATCCATAAAGAACATTTTTAAAAGCCAAATATCTGATTTATTATCACATTAATTGACCACAAGAAGGTCTGTGCCAATATCAGCAATTATTCTTCACATACTTACTTTCCAAAAATAATTTCGGATAAAGCTGACTTTGGGATTCAAGGTAATTTAACATGTGATTTATATTGTCATTACTTTTGCATTTAAGAGTTAGGAACGGAGACAGTAGTTTATTTAGGATTAGTAAAATGAGACTTTACGAAGATTAAGGGTGATTGGCTTATGAACAAGCCACTGCATATTACTCATTAAGTGGCAGAAAAGGAAACATTCTTTTTTTTTTCTCATGTGCACATATTCTCTCATATGCTCAGGCTTGTGTGTGTGTCTGTGCATCCATACATATGGATGCAGAGGCCCAAAGTTTGGTATTGGAAGTCTTTCTCCACTCATCCACTGAAGCAGGGCTTCTCCATTGAACTCAGAACTTGTGGACCAGAGTAGGCTGCCAGCTGACTCTGAGAATCCCATCTCTGTCTTTGTAGAGATGGAGCTGAAGATGGGCTGCCAAGGGGATCCTAATTCTAGTCCTTCTGTTTCCATGGCAAGCACTTTAACCATCTCCTCCTCCCAACAGACACATCTTGGAACAATAACCCATGTTCTTGTTATTGGAGGTCTTAATGTCTTGGAGTGAATTTGTAAAGGTTCTTACTCTTCAGTTTCAGATGTATGAAGTAAGCAGCAGAAAGATAAAATATAATAAAACCAATGAACTCATTTCCTGCTTTTTAGATGTTTATTTTAGATAATGAGGCAACTTTTCGCCTCTGAATTCCAACTGCCCAAGATAAAAGAACCAACATATTTGCATACTTAACTTTGATTTGATTTATCCATAATTTGAGTTTTTGATACAAAATGATTCATGAAAAGTTTCAATAAATGTTCACTTGAAAATAATCACTACTATTTAGGAAAAAAATCATATATTTTAGAAATGAAGATTTTGATGTATAATTATACATAATTGTCTTCAAAATATGCCAAAACTATTTTAAAAGATTGAAGCTTATAATTTATTAAATTGGTATTTTATTATCAGTTTTTGGTTGTTCAATATATCTAAACGTTTAAATCTCAAATTACAAAAATAATATAAAGCCATGAGACTGACTTTTGAAAGCAGTATGATACAATCTCCATAGTCCTGTTAGTGACAACACTTTGAAGCTATTTCTGGGCTATGACCTCTCTTCTGAGGACATTTTAAAATGTTCCTTTTGTGACTACCTTCAAAAATGTATTACCTTTACAATTTAGTTCCCTGACATGGTCTTTTAATCTAGTTTGCAGTAGAATTCTAATTCAATCACCCATACACAATACTGGTCAGATCTGGAAATCTTAAAACATTTTTAGTAATTTTCATTGAATGAATATTTGACACCCAAGAGGATATTTAAGCAAATGGTAATTCAGGTTTTGATAATAATTCTCAAATTTAAAAATTTATAGTAATTATAATGTAGAATTTTTTTACTTGCCAATTTTATAAGGTATATAGTGAGAATATACTTAATTAGGGCTCTGCAATTGAAAAACCATAGGATAATGTTTTATAGGTCACAAAATTCATACCAGATGACATCTTGAAAATTTGTAACTGTTATTTTTTAATTTACACATGTACTTTAGTATTATAAACCCTCACAATGTCAACTCTTCTATATGTTTCTCTACATGAGTCCCTGTAGTAAAAATTGTACTTAGGTGTTAGAGATAGCCATTGTCATAAAAATATTATTAACTAGCACCAGAATTACTTGAAAGTAATTGAAGTATTCATAGGAATGTAGAATACAGATTAAACTCCTAACTATATGGGAGAAAAAAGTCTGGTAAACAAAAGTAGCTACATGTCTTACGCTCAGAAAACATTTGCCAGGAAGAATAGACAGGAAACCTCGAGAGATCATTTTACATTGAATTCCAAAGAAATTACAACAATTCTCATATGTGACAGCATAATCTTACAAAGAAAGTTACCCTGCAGTAGTGATGGTTAATTTATATATGAGATCAATAAGATGGCAAATATATTAAAAACATTCTAAAGCAATTGAATTATAGTAACGCTTGTATTAGGTACAAAAATATACAGCAAAATGAAACATCTTGTTAAATAGGCTTACAGGCTAATATCTCAGAGGGACACATTTCACATTTATTTGTCTTATTATATTTGATAGTTATTATCATAGGTATATGCATTTCTAAAGGTTATCCTGCTGCATGAAGTTCTAGAATGTTTGTATATATTACCTCTTGCTAGCCTTTTGGTGATAGCTGGAGAAGTAATTTTAAAAGCTTTACTCCTAGAGTAAAAGAAAATAAGAAATCCCATACTTTTACGAGCAGTTATGCACAAGATGACTGTAGTGTTGGAGGAAATTGCCCCTTGACCACTATCACGTCATCACCACAAATGTATGTTTCCTGTTAAAGCAAAAACTGTCTGCTCCTACATTGAGTGTTGCTAATACTGGTATAACATTAGATAGGAAATCCTTGGCTTATGGTGGGGAAATCACTATTTATTAAGATCTGTCAGTGAACATTTCTGAACACGGGTCCCATCCTGACAGTCTTCTAGACTATAACAACTGGGAAGTGAGCAGAGCAGTGGTGCTTGATGCTACATCAACAGGTAGTACAGCATCCACACATCTGGGCCTGCGCTCCAAGCTGTCAGTCGTGGCTCAGCTGCATGCTGACAGAAGAGAAACAGCGTCCTATGCTTGTACACAATGGACCAATGACAACATCTGTCACACTCTTCCATATGGTCTGCACGGAAGGCAGGACCATTAGGCAGGTCTTCACAAAAGGCATTAGGATCCTGGCGGGGGGAAGAGGGAAACATAAGCATTGTTAGCGTTACCACTAGCAATTACTGTTACCAAGGGGACTGACACACACGCATGGACAAATATAAGAATGACTTTAACTTGCTTTAGTATGGTTCAACAGTTCAAAATAAACAAATGAACAATGGCAAGAGTGATAAGAAGTGCAAGAGGTAAGCTGTTTAAAAAATAAACAGGCACATGGATGATAAATGTTAATATTCTTTCGGCTGGTTGAACGCTAGTGGAAACGGTAAAACAAAAATAAACAAAGCAGTTTATTTCTCTGCCAGACCTCTGCTTCTAAAGATTAACCTGCTAGCACTTCCTGTTTCTCTGAGGATCTACTTCCTGCCTGCCTTTCCTGTGGCCTCCCTCTTTGCCTCCCCTCTTAGACAGGCTGGGTGGGAGTCTCCTGCTTTTGGTGTACTGAAACAAATCTCATCATTTTCAAATCTATCAAAAAGCTGGTACGTAAATACTTAAATTTCTGTCTTTCCTTTTAGAATGTATGCTGAAAGTTCACTTTTTAGTAAGATTTGAATGGAAATGCATTTAGTATTTTGTTCAGCTTCATGTTATCATCGTTTATGTCATGAATTGCTTCATATTGTTATTTTTATAGGAATTACACTCACCAACAAGGGCTGTGTGGTGCAGTTCAGAGAGAAAAAAGGTGTATTCCCACACTTTTGCATAGTTTTTCTTTTGATACTTTTTCTATTCTTCTATCATTCACGTGACTATTTTGTGTAATCCTCTGAGTAGTGCTTCCTGGGAGCATGAGAGTTGTGAACTTTGGGCACTGGAGAGGTTCTTTATTATTACGTGGGGGGAGGACTGAGGGTGAGGTCGATTTTCTTGGTTTGTTCTTAAAATGAGACTTAACTAAAGACCTGTTGCATTGAACTCAAAGGACCAATGATTGTGTGTTTGATGGGTATATTTTTAGAACGCTGTTATTCCTACTGCCCATCTACATAGACAATATTTATGTGATGTTTTGTTCCAATGGCTAAATATTTGAAACAATTTTATAAGAAAATTAATTATGGGTGCTTTAGAACTAAACACATGACAAAAAGCTGAGCAACTGTTCTCTTCATATTCCGTCCACATGAAGCTTCTCCCTGGATGTCACTTCTGCACATGCCCTCACATTAAAAAGAGACTGGAAATCTTACAGAACCAGTTATCAGGGCTAAGCCTTATTGCATGTCCCTCAGATATCCACACGTTGCTGTCACATAACAAATAATAACAGACAGACCTATCTTGAAGTCAGAATATATAGTAAAAATAATTTAATAAAATAGACTCAAAATAATAGAAGCCTAAAGTTTATATCCGAAAGTTTGTTTTAAAATATCCACTTCACTCTGAATCAATTTGCTCTTCCTTAGGCTAATCTTCTCTAGCTTCATAACCCTTGTATCTGTGGCCTCTAAAAGGGACTTCAACATTTTGAGTCAACGAAGTCCGATTGCCATGTTGGACGATTTCATCACTGGATATGACTGGCACATTTTATTTTCTTCAAGTTATTCTCTCTTTGTGTCACAGAGCTCAACAATCCTTGGATGTATAATTGGAGTCTTCTCAACATTGTGAATCATTTCTTTTGTACAACTGCACACAGTTTAGACTGATGGAAAATGCCCGACATCGTCAACCAAATGCTTCTCATGCAAACACCATAATCTACAGATCTGTATACTGCCATTGGGTAAAAAGCCCGAGATCAGGGAGTCCCAGCTGTTTTTCTACTGCAGTGTCTTAAAGATTGGGCTATCACAGCAATGTGTGTGCCGAAAGCACCCAGAATGAGGCACTGAGCACTGTGTTTACAGCAATTGGACACCCGTTTGCATTGCGTTCCAGGAAAATAAGAGTATAGATGCCCCAGTAACATTTCTTTGATTATGGTTTATTATTTATTTGCTTATTTGCCAAATGATGAGTGCATCTGACTGAGGCATCAAACAGAATGATCCCACAAGTCCTAAAGATGTGAACTTTTGGCTGAAGATCCAATATAACTCAATTTTTATATTTCAATTTTTGTTATGTGTTTGGGCAAAGAATCCAAAATCTAGTGGTAGTGGTGAATAGTTGGAGTTCTGCCTACTGGAGAGGCTAAGGCACAGGGATTCCTTGAGTCCAGGAGTTCAAGGCCCACCTGGGCAACATGGTGAGCCTCTGTGCTCACAACCAAACAAAATGATAACAAACCACCAACCAAACGCCTCCCCAAACAATAACCACAGTCAAAGCAAAAATCTACAATCAGATGTGTGCTGATTTTGTGACTGGTGAAAAGTCCCTTTTTTATTTCCTCTTCTTTGGTTAAACAATGACCAATCCCATGTTTAAAAAATATTAAATAAACAACTAAAAAAGAAAAAAACTCAAACAAACCCCAGTCTTGCTCAAATGAGTCTACTCATTAACAATGGTTCCCATTGATTTAGCTAGTCTGTCGGGGGGGGGGGGGGGGATATAATCCATTAATGATGAAAAATGTTCCATCAAGGCACAAAGTAACATCTAAGCATAGATGCACAGCTCCCGGATGACAGCTAGGTGACAGTTAAATATTAATGTCCCACATGAATGCAGTTTGAAAAACAAGCTGAGGTTAAATAATACATATCATGTGGCTAAAGAGAAGGTGGGCTGATGAGTCATCAGCGGATGCCAAATGCAAAACTCCTCCCACTGCAGGAAAGCCAGGTGGAGAAAAGCCTCCTTTGGGTCACTGTAGTGTTGCTAATATCTTTCCACCATTTAGCAAATGAAAAATTCCTTTTTTCCCCAATTCTTACCAAGGAGGTGTGGGAAGACACTAAACCTGTATGCTGCACTTCCAATGAGCATCAGAGCCAGCATCCCAACACGTGGTGGGTCCTTTGGCTTTTCACATTTTTGAAAGTGGAAAAATAACCGGCTCAGACATGGCCTTGGCAGCTTTAGCTTATTAGGACTGTCCAGTTGCATATGTTGATTTAGGCATGTGAAAAAGCCATGTGTGGGAATGTCATACATAGATGAGATAACTGCATCTGGCTTCTGTGGGTCTGTACACACACAAAGGCAGACGCTTCCTCTTGCAATCAATGGCACGTTCACCATGACTGCTCACAACCTCAGGTGACTGCATCCGTGTTCTTTGTTGATCCTTTGGTCATCTGGATTTATGTTTATCATAAATTAACGAAGTAACCTTCCTTTCCCAGTCTCCCCATTGCTGATCAATGGCGCTTTCTCACCATTCATGTCTGTATCTAAAGCCCCCTCACAGGCGGTGGGCAAGCTGAGGAAAATTCTGGGCACTTGTTCAGTAAGACAGAGCACCTAATAGACTCAGTGTGCAGAACTAGCTGGCTAACGGTAGCTGAATTTAGCTAGAGACTGAAAGAAGGGGTGGATTTGAGAGTTCTAACACTGAGCACCGAGGCTGCGTTAGGGTGCGGCAATGTCATATAAAGTGACAAACTAGACGGTGGCACCTCTGATTATACATGTCATGGGTCCATCTTGAGGAGCCAACCCGAGAACAATGGTGACACTAGGGATGATTCTTAGAATAAAGTAGATATTTCTGGAAGAAATGTGCTATTTTCCTCAAGCAAAGTTTGAGCGCTTGAAAATGCTCTATACATTTTATGACGCATTTCCAGTGTTTCCAAATTTCTTTTTCTGGTAACTAGATGTCCTATTATTCATTTGCACATCATAGGTGAAGCGATAATATAATGGCCTTATTTTATTGCTGCAGACTCTGAACTTCCATTCACCCATGGTAGGCGGGCCACGTTATCGCCGTCAACACCTCCTAGCTCACCTGGTTCCCTTACTACCATGTTTACCAATGGCAAAAGCTGAGTGGCACCGTCCACAGCACTGTTTGCCAAAGCCTGCCGTTCTTGCTTGGTCAGACTGGCGGTGGGGTTCTGCTCTGAGATGGCGCTTGTTTTGCCCAAGCACAGATGGTGACAGAATAAGAGGCAATGAAAGAATGAAAGAACCTGTCCAGAACCACAGGCACAAGTCACAACAGGGCCTTGAGAGTGCAGCCTGGGGCAGGAAGCAGCCTTCCAACCCCCACCTCCACACTCAGCTCAGCCTTCTGCGGGGAAGGAAAAATCACACCCGGGAAAGAGGCCCTTGCTTCTGTTTAAACCCTCAACTATTATTCTAAAGGACCATTATTATTCTAAAGAAAGCACACTGCCCCTCAAGCTTCCTCAGGTCTTGCTACTGCTTGGGAACTAATGCAAGCGTTCTCTCTGCAACCTGGCCTGGGAAATAGGAAGAGCAGTGGGCAGGTGGCAAAAACATCAGTATGCTTTAGAAGGAAGATCCATCCCTGGGTCCCTTCTCACCAGATGTGCAGACAGCTGAGGGTAGCAAACAGGATCCCTGCGACGAAGGCCAAGGGGATAGCCAGAAACACGGTCAGGAACTTGTAGATCACGTATTTGCTGATTTCATAGAGGGCATGGCTGCAGATCCACACTTTGTCAAAGGAGTGTGTATTCTCAGGCTCTGCAATTAGATCCTCAAAACCTAGCTGCAGAGACAAGACACAGGGACCCAACCTGTCATCCAACCTGTCTGCAGGGGTTGGGGGACTAGAGGCACTATAAACAGGGGAAGTCTGCAGAAAAAACGGTAGACTATTCCCAGCGTTTCCTAGGGTAACCGTGGGCACACAGGAATTGGGGCAACATTCCTGGTTGTTCAGGGAGCCTGAGGGTTGTGTGTCTGGGTCAATAGGGTGCCAATAGGACCAGTGGCCACTGTTGGAGAGGACTTGAAGGGGCATCCTCCTACAGAGAGTTAGGGACCCACAGCAGCTTCCTGCCTAGGTGGTAGCTGGGCTGAAACTCACCTTGAGATGGGAATTGAGCCGGTGGGGATCCCGGTCGTGACTCGAGTCCACGTACTTCTCGGGATCAACGTAGTCGACACCACTGTGGTGGCTGTAGGCGTCGTCCGCCATGAAGAGCTGCACGTTGGCCTTCTCGGTCTCCAGCCCCATCGCGGCTGACGCTGCGCTGCAAGAGCGGCTCGGGTCGTTCCGTTCCCGGGCAGCGCGGCCACCCCTTCCCGCGGCGCCCAGCCCCGCCCCGCTCGCCTCGCCTCGCTTCGCCTAGGTCGCGCTGCCCGGGCGGTGGCCGCTTTCCGCTGCCGGTTCCCGCTCCCGGCCTTGGCTGGCCGAGCCCCGCCCAGCCCCGCTGGGCCTCTGGGTGGGAGGGCAGGCACCTCTCTAGTTGCTTGCCAGAGCCCGAAGGAGCTCAGGGAATCGGCCCGATGAGTCACCTCCTGGCTCCTTGGAGCTGGGCAAAGCGGGCCTCCAGGGCCACTTGGCTAGCAGTTCAGACCTGGGTGCTTAATGGCAGGCAAATTGGCCAGGGAGATGTGCAAACTGGAGCGAGGTCTCGAAGTACTTGGATGGTAAGCAGTAGGAAAGCCTGCGTTCGTTGCCTGTTGCTTTATGTCTTTGGCACCTGCTCCTCAGAGCTATCTTGATGTTAATTCATGTTAAACTTTTACTTGGTCCCTAACTCACGGTAGGCATCCAATCAGCATTACTGCTGCTCAGTGAGGCTAGAAGCCAAGCTTAGAGATTGACAGGGGATGCACCCAACCCTTCAGTTTTCCCAGAACTGGGTATGTGAGGCTTTTGGTCTAGAAGTTTGCGCCATCATAGCCCAAGGAGAAGTCTGTTCCTTTACCTCCAGACTACAACTAATTCTTGATTTTTCCTTAACTCGGGATTTTGTTCAGAGATTTCAGGAATTGCTAACATGCACACAAATTCTGCAATATCCTCATAGGTGCAACGTAAACAGAAGCATGAAACCATGCCGTGGTACGTAGGGGAGTCTGCCAATGATTCTCTTAGGAGCTTCAGAAGGGAGGAGCTGGCATAAAGGGTTTGCCGGCAGGTAAACTCACACATTTGTTTGCTGGAAACAGGAATTTGGTGAATATAATTTGAGAACGGATGATGCTTGCAGCTTGCCCAGGGCCCAAGAGACAGTACCAAAGAGTAAGCACCGCCATGCACAGGAGGGTTTAGAACCAGCTGCGCACAGCAAATCAATGTAGGAACTGGATTTGAAGGCTTCTTTGGGAAAAAAAAAAAAAAACAAAACAAAACCCTCTACTTAGGAAATAATAAAAATTATAAAAACAAAACGAAACAAACAACGATAGCAGTAAAAGACAGGCACTGAACGGGGAACATATTTTGGAGCTAAAATTCTCCATCTCCTATAGTTAAAGAAAGAGTGTGCAGATGGCAGTGTGGCAACAATGCAGAATGTGGCAGGGTTGAGTCCTAGGACCCGAAGGCCCCTCCCCCACCCCGTCATGTGGTCCTTTTACTGGAGCCTCAGGCTACCCCCGCGTTTATATGTGAGCATCCTGGTTTTGGTAACTTCTTTTGAATGGAAAGGGGTGACTTAAGCCTTACACTAAGGGTTTTTTTTTTTTTTTCAGCACTTCACTCTCCGGCATTCATTTGAGCAGGCTGACTTCTGAGAACTGGGTAGGGTCTAGATTAGTGTTTTATACCCTTTGAGGCATAACCCTTTCACGGGGGTCTCCTAAGGCCATCAGAAAACACAGATATTTGCATTACGGTTTATTTTTGCAGATTTATTACAGTAGCAAGATTTACAGTTATGAAGTAGCAACAAAAATAATTTTATGGTTGGGGGGGTTCACCCCAACATGAGAGACTGTATTAAAGGGTCACAGCGTTAGGAAGGTTGAGAACCACTGTTCTGATTGTTGCCTCCGGAAAGCAGGAGTCTGCAGGGGAGGCCACCGTGTTGATTACTAGGATATGGAAGAGATAGTTTACATCCAATTAATCTTTCCTAAAGCTTGCATTTCCTCAAAATGTAAGATCTTCCAATGAAAAGAACAAAACCGCACGGCTGCAGTTCAGGTGACGGCTGCACAGCAGGCTTCATCCCTCCGGAGGCTTCGGAGGACATGTGCATTTAGTAGGCCAAGAGTGTGTTAGTAGGCCAAGAGGCAGAACCTATGCAAATAGAGGCTGAATTTTCAGGCAGCAGAGACAGGAGGCCCTAAAGAGGTGAAATCCGTATGCTCTTGATTGGACAGTTTCAGCTACAGATTCGTTTGTAAAATTAGAGATGTTTATTTTTAGAAAAGAATGTTCTGAAGCTGAAACTTAAAACAGAAGTTGTCTAGATTTGGTGGATGCCATGAAGAATTGAGAAGAACAAGAAGACTCGCCTGCTGACTTGTTGACTATGCCCCTCTGCCGCTGGTTGGAACTGGATGACTCTCATTCTCTTATTTTAATGACATTCTTGCCCATGTCACTATTTTCATTTATTAAGCTTTTTTTTTTAAGCATTGCCTTAAAAATGATTTTGCTCATCCTACTGGATTATTCTTAGACCATGGCAGCTATCATTGCCCTCAAGGGGATTAAACCAGCATGATTCCCACAGCATAGATGGATGCTACCCTCGATAGATTTTTTTCCAAGAAATAAAAAAGCAGAGGAACTGCGTTAGAGCTAAATATTTGCGTTCACAATTGTATCTTCCAGAGAGTTGGGTTACCCTCCAGTGGCCCCAAAACATATCCACTATAAGGAAGAGGACACACGCTTCATGTTAAACCCAGGCTGGTGCTTTCATTTTCTGGCTTCTAATAAGATGGAGCTTTAGATGGCACATTAGAGCAATGGCGGAGCACCACCAAGTCATTGATCAGGACTTCTGAGTGGGATTTCCTCCCTGCATTTTCTCATCACATTGTCTAAGAAAGTTCTTTTAATGGCTTATTCTAATGTGTTTGTAAAAATTCCTATGAATAAAGTCAATTTTCACCTTCGGTTTTTCCCTCAAATTACAACCCTGTCTTCTGATGGCCTATATTGCCCACAAACAGCTTTCATCATTGGGTATTCAAGGAATTGGTTATTATTAAAAGAATCTCATGATAATTCCAGCATATGGATTAGAGGAGGTTTGCTCATCCTCCACGTTATTGGCGGATTCTGTCCAATCATCCTGTGCTATGAGGGCTTGTCCCAGGACCTGTAATGTTTATCCACCCCTGACTTCTGCCCCACTAGCTGTAGACGCTGCTGACCAGCCACGGCAACCCCAAATGTTTCCAGACATTGCTAAACATTCCCTGAGGACCCAAGTCACCTTTCCCCGCCTTCCTGGGTCTGACAGCCTCGAAATTTGACAGTAGTGAATAATGTCACACGAATGGGGAAAAATGGAGGTCCTTCCGTGCATTACGAAGGCTATGGCTAAGACAAAGCTTGGAATTATACTAATAATTTATCAGAAATCCTATTTTTATTGTGAAACAGCTTCATGTCTATAAAAAATGAAGTCCAACACACACACACACACACACATTTTTGGAGCTGGACAGTGGTGGAGCACACCTTTAAACTCATCACTGGGGTGCAGATCTCTGTGAGTTCAAGGCCATCCTGGTCTACAGAGCGAGTTCCAGGCTAGCCAAGGCAACACAGAGAAACCCTGTCTTGAGAAAAACAAAACAAAGAAAGAAAGGGAAGAAGGAAAGAAGGAAGGAAGAAAAAAGAAAGGGAGAAAGAATGAAATGAAAGAGGGAAGTACAGAAGGAAGGAAGGAAGGAAGGAAGGGAGGGAGAGAAAGAGGAAAAGAGAAAGAAAGGAAGAAAGGAAGGAAGAAAGGAAAGAGGAGAGGATGAAAGTTAAGCTTAAGGATTTTGTCTGTTCTTTAACATTTTTCAAACTAATCAGTTATCAAAATTCCAATGCATTTTGGAATATGTAATCCCATCAAGAGACCCTTAAAAAACAACTTTCAAATTTTGTCTGTCTGCCAGGTCTCGTATGTTTTCCTCACAAAGGCTTGGCTTGTTTAGATGACTGTATCTGGAAAAACTCGGGTTAGGGGATATCTTGATCCTTTATATTTCATCTTAAGACCATATGAAACTCAGGGATCGTTGGCAAATCCCACCTATTGAATAATTTCCCCAAGTTTTTTTTTGTTTGTTTGTTTTGTTTTGTTTTTCGAGACAGGGTTTCTCTGTGGTTTTTGGAGCCTGTCCTGGAACTAGTTTTGTAGACCAGGCTGGTCTCGAACTCTCAGAGATCCGCTTGCCTCTGCCTCCCGAGTGCTGGGATTAAAGGCGTGCGCCACCACCGCCCGGCAATTTCCCCAAGTTTTAGGTTAACTTTAATTAAGGAATCTGTGTCCTTGTTTAAAGAACGAGGCACCTGCTGATCAGTGTCCCACTGTCACCAGGACAAAAGTTGAGAAGTTTGGAGACAGAATTGCATCTTGTTTAAACTGATCCAGTCCTAGAACAGTGGGCTTTGAGTAAGTAATTATTCAAATAGGTCTCTACTTTGTTTTCACATCTTTTCCTGTCTTCCTCACTTTATCTTCTTCCTCCAACCATTCCCCATCTCCTGATAATATCCTGGGCCCTGCCTGAAGTTTGGATCAGATAAAAAGTATGTGTCGTTACAGTTCTTCAATTATCACACTTGTGAAGTGGTGCCAGATACTTTATAAAAATTTCCCCATTTTTTTCTCTTACATACCGCTTGTCTTTTTTTCTCCCTACCCCAAGTAAAGTAAGTCTTGCATCAGTGAACCAGGAATTTCTGGTTTATTACTAAGACACAGTAGTTTGTTTATAATTGGTGCCAGGTTGATATTTTATCTGTTTCAAACAGGACCTCCCCTGCCCCAGAAATGTCATACACAAGAATGTTCGAAGCACCCTTTCTGTGGGAATGCTTGGCTCTTAGAAACAGCAGGGAAAAGAGAGTGAGCTTCATCAGTCTGTATTCACTGTTGATAGTGATAGGATAGGTCATTCTATTCTCATCCAGAACAATGCAAGGCGATTAATTTTAGCATTATTTTATCCTGTTTTCCATAAGTAAAGGATGTTCCTGTTTAGCCTTCTAAGTGTCTCATTGATTTCTGGAGCACTGTATATACTAAAAAGACATAGCTATAGGGCTTTAATGGTTTATCTTTCCGGAACATGAAATAGGAACTCATTAAGCTTGAGTGGGCACTAAATTCAAGTTACACTTTTAAGAAGCGCAATTTCCTCTGTACGCAGGAGGGATCCTGGCTTTTGCTGCCCTGTGGAGCTGCCTTTTCCCAGTCTTAACAGT